GAAAAGAAGAACTAGGGGAGACACGATAGAAGTCTTCCAATATCTCAGGGGTTGCCCCAAAGAAGAGGGAGTCAAGCTACTCTCCAAAGCATCTGAAGGCAGAACAAGAAGCAAAGGGTGGAAACTAATCAAGGGGAGAAGCAACCTAGAACTAAGTTTGGTGATTTGGTTGGTTTTGATATGTGCACAGTGAGAATTCTTCCTTCTTATATTTTTCGAGATCGATGTAAGAATGGCTCCTTGATGTTGTCCTTCTTTTAAAATTGTCCCCGATTAGCTTTTTTTTTTGACCCATGCTGTCTCATCACACAGGGCATAGAATCAAGAAAGAAGTGGAGATCCAGAATATATCCAAAGAACACTTGGTGGTATCCTTTTTGTTGAACTAATCCCTGATGCTCCACCATATTTCCCACTAGAGCAGGGGTCGGCAACCTTAAACACTCAAAGAGCCACAAAAGTTCTAACTGGAAGCCCCCCGTTCAGTTTTGGAGCCAACCGGAAGTCCATTTCCCCCACCATAGAGTCTCCTCCTAGCATGGCGTCTTTTTTCCTCCCCTGACAGGAAGTCCGGTTCCCCCACCATAGAGTCTCCTCCTAGCACGGCGTCTTTTTTCCTCTATCTATCTTAACCGAAAGCCCTATCAATTGTGGAGTCAACCAGTGACAGGAAGCGGCAGCAGAGGGAGGAAAGAGCCACATGCGGCTCCGGAGCTGCAGATTGCTGACCCCTTCACTAGAGTGCTTTTCTCTGTCTTTTTTTTTTTTAAAGAATAATTTGTTTAGTTATTTATTTTTTTAATCAGAAAGGTCCTCTCTGTGATTTAGAAATATTACCGGCTAGAAAAAAAACAAACATTTACTTATAGGCTTACAGTTCAAAAGACATCACACGAGGAATGAAGGTGGGATGGGGGGCGGGGGAGAAATGTTGGAAACTCAGGTTTCAGCTTCTAAGACCTCAGTTCTTGGAAGAAAAGCATTCAGAGGCCAGTTTGTATAAGTGGCCCAAGGCTAGGAATTGGCTGTTTTTCTTTGTCCTGTGGATTCTTTGAACCAAATTTTTCAGGTGGGATATTCCCTTCTTGATCCCTTCGGACCGTTTCTGCTAGCCAATCCGATTTGTTCACTTGGAGAAGGGGAATCTCGGGAGCTAGTGCTTTCCTTCTGTCCGGAGGAGAGCAAGTCGGTGAGTTTCTTCACTCCCTTGTCACACTTTTAATGTTTTATAGCGGTGCTTCTCAACCTTCTCCGCTTTAAGAGGTGTTGACTTAAGGAGTTGAGGCCCACACCTCTTAAATTGGATAAGGTTGAGATACCCTGATCTACACAGTGTCCCACTGACCATTTCATCCATTCCCTAGGATAGATAAATAGATATATACAGATATATGGATGGATTGATGGATATACAGATAGATAAATAGATAGACAGACAGACAGATGTACAGATAGATGGATAGATGGATGGACAGCTAGATAGCTAGATGGATGTACAGATAGAGAGAGAGAGAGACAGACAGACAGAGAGAGACAGAGAGAGAGACAGAGACAGAGATGTTTAGATAGATGTTTAGAGAGATGGATGGATGGATGGATGGATGGACGGACAGATGGACAGACAGACAGATATTTGATATTTGATCACCATTTAGGTGGGTAGCTAGGTAGATAGATAATATTGGATGGATGGATGGATGGATGGATGGATGGATGGATGGATGGATGGATGGACGGACGGATGTGCTGGCTGGGGAATTCTGAGAGTTGAAGTCCATGCCTCTTAAAGTGGAGAAGGTTGAGACACACTCATCTATAGAGTTGCGGTTCTCAACCTGTGGGCCGGGACCCCTTTGGGGGTCAAACGACCCTTTCACAGGGGTCACCTAAGACCATCGGAAAACCCATATCTTCGAAAAAATACGGAAAACATGAAATTTTATGGTTGGGGGGTCACTGCAACATGAGGAACTGTATTAAAGGGTCGGGGCCAGTGTTTCTCAACCTTGGCAACTTGAAGATGTCCGGACTTCTGGGAGTTGAAGTCTGGACATCTTCAAGTTGCCAAGGTTGAGAAACACTGGTCGGGGCATTAGGAAGATTGAGACCCACTGCTATAGCGTGTTCCACTGACCATTTCCTCCATTCCCCACTCTTCCCCTGAAATTTCTCTTCCCAGTATTTTGAAATCCTGGAGATACGAACTGAGAAAGCCACCCTGACTCTTACACTGACTGGCAGGGGAGTAATCGCATCCATTGCGTGCTCGCTGGAGGAAGATGTGTTGAACATGGGATATGTGGTCTCCAAGGAAACCACCACCTCTGTCTTCAAGGTACCGTCTCCTTTCCAAGGAAGTCAAGAATGTGATCCTATTCCCCTGTTCCCAAGTAAATCGTTAGGGGAGATACCGTGTTTTTTTTTACTAAAGATTTTTTTAAAATTTTTGAATAAACACAGACAAAACACACATACAGACACAAAACACAAAATCATGGTCCATTTCTGGAACAAAGGTTCTCTGAAATAATTCATATCTGAACCAGGGGTGTTGTCAGTTTTCCAAGTAATAAATCCATTGCAAGCAAGACCCCGAGGCAATTGAATTCCTCAACAATTACTTTTATCAGAAATACGATATTGGCACATACCTGGTGAAAACCGACTCTGAAAACCCCCGCAGTTTTCACCGCACTCAAAGTAAAAGATTTTCCACTTTCTCAACACAGTCACTTGGTCCAATCGCCGTGTTGTCCGACAACTAGGTAGCATCACTCCGCCTCCTCCTGACCAGGTGTGAGAATGACCTTGGTTTTCAAGAGAAAGTATTTTGTTTTGGCTACAAAAATCCTTCTATCTCAATTCCGCCTTCCCTGACCCTCAGCTCCAGTGTGGCACAAAAATGGCTTCGGTCCGGCCAGCTTCAGAGTTGACAGGTGTCCAACCTTGGCACCTTTAAAGACTCGTGGACTTCAACTCCCAGAGTTCCCCAGGTCTGAAGTCCACAAGTCTTAAAGTTGCCAAGGTTGGACACCCCTGAATTAAACCATGTTAACTGTTCTCATCCATGACAGCTAGGAAATATTTCTTGATCCTGGGTTAACAATTACTTTCCCGCCACTGTTTTCTTCCTGAATCCGCAAAAAATGCGTGTTTTTGCCAAAGGCCAATAGCATCTGAACTCTGCTATCTAAGGAAAAACGGCTCAATATTTGGGATAATTTTAGGACGATGGGTTCTTTTTGCAGATCGAGAACATTTCTCCTTTGGCCTTGAAATATTCTATCGTCTTGGACTCTCTTTCTCCGGACAGATACCAAGAGCTGCAGACGTTTCCCCCATTCCTTAAAACTCCAAGAGAAACACATATAATTGGTAAGGAAATGGGCCCTGTGTTGAAGGCTATTTTGTGCTAGATGTGGGTTGCGTTGCTTCATGGTTACGATTCACATGATTTGAACAAATTCTCCATGTTCCAGTTACATGAAGGATCGTAACAGGTTATCTTTATTATGGCTGTTTTGGGGTGGGAGGGCAAATTTAATGGGAAAACAAGGCAATAATCTATCTATCTGTCTATCTGTCTATCCATCTATCCATCTATCCATCCATCCATCCATCCATCCATCCATCCATCCATCCATCCATGTCTATCTCCATCCATCTATTTTATCTATCTTTCTTATCTATCTTATCTATCCATCCATTGATCTCTATCCATCCATCCATCCATCCATCCATCCATCTATCTATCCATCTATCTATCTATCTTTCTTATCCATCCATCCATCCATCCATCCATCTCTATCTTCATNATGTATGTATGTTTGTTTGTTTGTTTGTTTGTTTGTTTGTTTTAGTATACGATAACTGTAGGAGTTGGGTGTGCTCATCGGTCTACTTTGGCCAACTTATTGATTGGTTTCTTCCCCTTCTAGCTCCGAAGAGTACATTGCGGCCCATCTCAACCTAGTCCGCAGCTACACCAGCTGTTTCGACAAGTACATCATACCTTGCCTTGTCGCGAGTGGAGACATCGACGAGAAGAGAGGGGCCGAAAACATGAACTTCAGGTACGCCACGTTGCAGAAACCGGAGACCCACCGCAGGGTGAGGGGATGCTGTCTGGGTTCCGACGGATGCCCTAATTAAACACCATGAGTCTCGAGCCAAGCTTCAAAAGAAATCCAGTTATTTATTAGGTGCAACATGTCAGCACGTACCCAAGTGAAGCCAACTCTGACCCAACGTGCCCGAGGCGAGGCTGGTGCTGTGGCTTCTGAGAAGCAGGGTTGGGGCCTGCCAGGAAACAGCAGAGTTGGCAACAGATTCAGACAGTGAGGAGGTTGGTTTCCTTCTCCTGGCAGCTCTGCACATTCGCACATTGGGAATAGGCTCCAGCTGTTCTTCTGCCTCACTGATCTCCAACTCCGAAGGCAGCTGATAACTAGCATACGGTTCTGGCCCCCTCTCTGCCTCCCGACACAGAGACCTCATCCGAGACTTCCCCAGACTCCAGGACTGGCCCAGATTCCTCCCCAACCTCCTCACTGTCTGAGTCTGCCACCAGCTCTGCTGGGCCACAACACTGTGTTGGAAACCAGAGGCATTTGAACTGCAATGTATTTTCTCTCTACAGCCCTTATAATACTTTGTACTTGGAGCTCCATTGTCCATCTGTCGCCCCTGTCGTGGTGGTCACATCAAACAACGGGAGAACCTTTTTCAACTTTGGGGACGTAGCTGTCGGTATGAAATCCTCTTTCTCTATCCTCTTTTTTTCCCTCCTCTTCCTGGCAGAATTTAATTCAATTAAGGTTTAATTAAACCTTGGCTCTTCGTGGTCAAGATGCGCAAGTTTTTTCAGTGGCCTTATAAGCATCTTGAGAGCAACCAAGAGGATTAGGGGACTGGTGACTAAAACATATGAAGAACGGTTGCTGGAACTGGGCATGTCTAGTTGAATGAAAAGAAGAACTAGGGGAGACACGATAGAAGTCTTCCAATATCTCAGGGGTTGCCCCAAAGAAGAGGGAGTCAAGCTA